GCTCAGGGGTATTCCACTAATTTCTTTCCAGTAGGCTTCATCTACTAAAGGATCTCTACCCATGTGTATGCTGTGAATGTGTGTATGCCTGCATGGTATGGGTGTGTTCATGTAATGTGGGGGTCAGATTGATGTCCCAATTTTTTCATATATTTTGGTCATATTCCTTCCCCTCCCCAGCTCCTCCCAGATTCTCCCCACTTCACTACCCAGCAAACTTCACATTTTCTCTGGGGTGGGGGACCAAAGCAAACAGGTAATTTAATAAAGAAAATCCAACTTTAGGAAGGCTCTAAACTCCAAATGACAGCTGTCTTGGTTATGCTTTCTCATAACTGTGATGAAATGCATTTCTTTTGGGTCACGGTTTTTAAAGGTACAGTCCATAGCATGAATCGCACAGAGACAGGTGTGTGACACCACTGGCCACATTGCATCTGCATCCAGGAAACAAAGAGAGATTAAACAGTAAGGTACTCAGCTCAATTATTTTTATTCAACTAAAAAAGAAAAACCCAAACCATGGGATAGAGCCAGCTACATTAGACTATGTCTTCTCACCTCAACTAACCCTACCTAGAAACTCATCCCAGGCATACCCGGGGGCTCGACTCCTGGGAGATCCCAGACGCTGTCAATCTGACATTAACCATCACAATAGCAGTTTCCATTCTGCAGATAGGAAAACCTGAGGCTCAGAGAGCTGGGGGGAATTGTTTGTTCATGGTACCAGAAGGAGAGATAGAGTCTGACTGCTTGATAAATTCTTCGTACTCAGCTGGGGACTTTCCCGGCTCTATTGACACATCAGCAGAGAAGGGCATATCCTTCCCTAAGAAGGTCAGGCAGCATGCTGGCTCCTAGATGGGGTATTCCCCATGTGGTAACAGCCCTATTTCTGAGTGATATGCTGCGCCTGCACAGCCAGAGTACCGAGCTTGGCGGAGGGTGTCGAGATTGAAACACTTAACAGACCACCAGGAGAAGTTAAGAAGAAGCTGCTGCCACCACCACTGTTTTATTACAGAGGGTAATGGGCTTATATACCCAAGCCAGGGGATGGGCTAAGCATAGGAGGAAGTCATGCACCACCCACACCTGGGGTCAAGGCACCTGCACTGTGCACCAGAAAGTTTTGAAAACAACCTTGTTTGCATGGAAGTTCTACAGCTGGGTGGGGAGAAGACAGCTGTGAGGGACAAGTACTTAAATTTCCCAACACGATACATGCCTTGCAATCATATTCTGAACTACCCTTCCCATTTCCCCCCTGGGGCTGCCCTGATTCTAGTTCCTCTGAAAGGTCACACCCTTTTTTATTTCCTGCTCCTTGAACTCTACCTCCTATTCCATCCCTGCCTCTGTAATTTCTCTTTTCAAAATGCCATGTCTTGGTGGTAACCTGAATTTAATCCCTGAAACCCACAAAAAGGTTGATGGGAAGAAACTGACTCCACAAGGCTATTCTTTGACCTCTACATATGTGCATCACGTGTGCCATGCACTTACATTGTGCAGGGAGAAAGGGGAGTGGGGAGACAGAGTGACTAGATTTGCGCAGGTCTAGTGAGGTAGCTACTGCTGCTGAGTTCTTGAGTGCAATGACCATGCTGTGTATCCAAGACAGAATTCACGTGTTCCTCCTCTTTCTAGGTCCTCACCTGAGCTTGGAGGGAACAATATAGATGTCCAGTTTAGGACTGAGCACTCAACAGTTGCTTGTTCTCTTCACACCGACCAGTTATGGGAAGACTGGATCCATTAATCCATCAGTGTGGTCATCATGGATGAAAGAAGGGCTTGTAAGCCCCATAAGCCCCACCCCTGCAAGTACACTGGAACACTCAGCCATAAATGTAGTGGGTCTTATACACACACGTGTGCACACGCTCGTACACACACACACTCACGCTGGGGAGTAAATGGGGGATTGGAAGGAGGATTTGGTGAAAGGGACCAGTAAGACAGAATGGTGGTGGGTGGAACTTTCATGAAAGAACATGGCAGCAGAAGCATGAGGCAGCTGATCCCATCACATCCCAAGCCCAGAAGCAGAGATCAGTAAATGCTGTTGATCAATTCACTTTCTGCTTTTTCTTCGGTATGAACTCCAGCCCATGAGATTCCACCACTCTTGGTTAAGGTGGGGTTTTGCAATTCTGTTAACCTAATCTGAAACTCACTCACACACATGCCCAAAGCTTGTTTCCACAATGACTCTGGATCCTGTCAGGTTGAAATCACTGTTAACCATCACAGTAGGTCATCTCATGGTAGTAGAGTCTCGTACTTGAGCTGAGGGCCTCATAAAAGAGACTCAGAGAACTGCCAAGATGGTTCCATAGATAAAGGTGCTTGCCACCAAGCCGGACAACCTAAGTTCCATCCATGGAACCCACATGAGGAAAAGAAACACACCTCCATTGTGACATGCCACCTCTTCCTGATTAACTAATGAAAAAATGAACCCCCCCAGAGTTGGTGTGGTACTACATGTCTGTCTTCAAACACTCAGGAAGTGGAGGCAGGATAATCCAGATTCCAGGTCAACTTTGAATATATATTGAGGCCAACTTGGGCTAGGTGAGGCTCTATCTCAGAAAAAGAAAAAAAAAAACAAACAAACAACCAAAGAGAGAGGGCAGGAGAGACCTGAATTTGGCTCATAACCATCTGTAACTACAGTTCAAGATGATCTGATATCCTCTTCTGGCCTGCTCAGCCACTGCGCTCACACATACACATCCACACACATATACACATAATTAAAAATAAAAATAAAAATTTTTTAAAGAGACTCCAGGGAACTCACTGACTCTTCCAGCCTGTGAAGATACAGTAGTAACCAGAAGCAGCATCCCCACCTACAGCATCTCTACCTGCAGCATCCCCACCTGCAACATCTCCAGATGCCAGCTGTAGCTCCCTCTTCAACTCCCTGGAGTTCAGAATTGGGAGACATCAGTTCCTGCTGTTCTGGAGCCACTGGGCCTGTGACCCAAACACACTGGGGTTTCTCTATTGGTCAATATATGGGCAAGCACTCCTTTGGTGGTGGTAGAAGTGCTGGGTATGGGACCTGGGACCTCATGCAAGCAGCAGTCCCAGCCCTTGGATATGGAGCTGTGTGTGATTGCAGCTATTTGTGCCCTATGATCTCACACATTTATAGGATGGGGTGATAACTGTCATGTTCCATCAATATTATACCAGGGCCTCATTTGGGGCTGACATCTTGTGAAATTCTTCCCTCACAACAAGTGAGGAGGGGGCTGGAGAGATGGCTCAGAGGTTAACAGCCATCTAAAGAAGTTGAGAGGCATCAGAGAGTAAGAGGAGCTCTTCCAGAGGTCCTGAGTTCAGTTCCCAGCAACCATACAGTGGCTCACAACCATCTATAATGAGATCATGTACCCTCTTCTGGCATGCAGGCATGACACTGTATACAACACACACCATACTGGAGCAATGTTTTAGCAGTGTTGCTCACCTGGGAGGGACAGAAAGGATCTCAGGTCACCTAGAAAGACCAGAACAGTACCTATCAAGTCAAATCTAATAAAGAAAATCTGGACATCAGGGAACACTCTGCCCATGAGGCTGAGTTATCTATGTCAGACAGACCATGTAGAATAATATCTGCAGCCAGGCAATGGTGATGCATGTCTTTCTTTAATCCCAGCATTTGGGAGGCAGAGGCAGGCAGATCTCGGTGAGTTTGAGACCAGCCTGATCTACATAGCAAGTGCCAGAACACAGAAAAATGCTGTCTGGAAATAATAATAATAATGTCTGCAAATCTCCCTCTCCCTTTATCTCTCTCTCCCTCATTCTCTCTCTCTCTTCTCTCTCTCTCTCTCTCTCTCTCTCTCTCTCTCTATCCCTCCTTCCCTCCTTCCCTCCCTCTTGTGCAGGCACTTGTGTGCCATACTGAATGTGTAGATGTTGGAAGAACACCTCAGGAGCATTACTCACTTCCATGTTCTTTGGGGCAGTGTCTCCTCTATCTCTGTTTCTGACTCCCAGCTGACTGACTTACAAGTTTTCAGGGATTTTCTTGTCTCTATCTCCCATTTCACTGTGGAATCCTAGGGTTTCCCCCCATGGGTTCCAGGGATTTAAACTCAAGTCCTTGAGCTTGCACAGAAAGCATTGTGCCCACTGAGCCATCTCTCTAGCTCAATATCTATAAATCTCAAGTGATCCCATCACTAGAACAGATGTTTTACGTGAGTACTGGATTAAACTTCACCCTGACAATTCACAGAAGAAACACTACTTTTTCTTACTTTCTCCTCCTCTTCATTTCTTCCTCCTCTTCTTCATCTTCTACTTCTCCTAGCCTCCAATGTCTCTAACATGCTATGTGGCCAATGAAAAACTTCAAATTCTGATTCCTCTGTCTCCAAAATTCTGGGATGAGAGTTACACACGACTATACCCATCTCTGCAGTGTTGGAGATTGAACCCTTGTGCATGTCAGGCAAGCACACTACCTACTGAGTCACATTCCCAGCCAATCGATGCTCCATTGCATAGCCCAGAAAACCAAGTCTCAGTACTTGATGTGACTTGAAAAAAGAAAATTGGCATCAAAATATACAGCACACCTCCTAGCCCAGGCTAACATCTTCTAGCTGTGTCAAGCAATGTCTCTCTCCCCACACTTTTCCGGGGTGAGGATGGCCCCATCCTGTTCCCTTTTTTCCTCCTGAGTCAGAGAAGAATGGACCTCACAGGGGGTGATCCAGAGGGCCATGGGCTTATATAAATCCCAGGGCAGAGAGGAGGTGGAGAGGGGGGAGTGAGGAGGCAGAAGATGGCAGGAGAGCCAGGGCCTCAGCAGCCAAAGAACTATGGTGAGGCTGGGCACCTCTGGGTGCTTTCAGGGGAGCTGGGTCCAGGATCCAGGGTGATATGGGCCTGGCCTCCAGCTTGGGGTTGAGGGAGGTGGCTGAGCTTTGGAGGTCAGCTGCTGTGTTCTGTCCCGTTCAGAGAAGGAGGTCATATTTGGAGGCAAGGCATTTGCTGAGAACGACCCCGAGGGTCTCATTCCCAGCTCCAAAAGCACACCAGGTACTGGGTGATTCAGGGGCAAAGGTGTCAGGGGTCCTCTGCAGAACCAACACAGCAGGGCAGGATCTGCCCCTGGGACCTCAGCTCTGCCCATCTGCCCATCCTGCAGAATGTCTGAGACGAGTCCCTTGGCTTCTCCTGCTCCTCATCTCCTTAGGCCTCTTTGTGCTGATGTTGGCCACCATGGTTCAAGGTCAGACAGGGAATGGCTGGGGACTGGGATGGGGAGCCCTTTTAGGTTGTTTTGTGCTTTGTTATTGTGGGGTTGTCTGTTTTTTATTTTGTTTACTCTTTTATTTTTGCACTTGTTACACAGAAACTCTAGCATGAGACACTAACTGAGCTTTAAGATTTCCTGTCTGGGATGATCCTTGCCTAGCCCCCAAATTCACCAGAGCTGGGACATCTAAGCTGCCCATCCCTCATTTCACCTGTGACCAGGGGCAGCTGACTGTCCCTCTCTGCAATGGGGCTCAGCTTCCCCTTTGGAGCTGAACTTGGCACAGCCAGGTACCACCAGTGCTCATGGAGGGTGTGGTGTGCTCTCCTCTTTTTAGTTTCCAGGATTCGTGGATACCCACAGGGACAGACCCTGGATCAGCAGGGGAGCTCCAGATTGGGTGAGGGGGGACAGGGGCTCTGAGTGGGAGAGGACTCTGAGGCTGTGTGAGGTGGGGAGCACGGGCATAGGCATGCTGGGTGTGTGGCAGGATGTGGGAGGCCGTGGACCTGTGTGAGGTCCTGTGTCCTGGCCTGAGCCATGGGCTCCTATGGTCACTGTGACCACCACAGTGATCTTGTGGGTCCAGCTCTGCATCAGGCACACAATGGGTGCTTAATTGTTGCAAACCTCTTCTTGTAGATGCTGTTCCTCATGAGCAGACATACTCCAGCTTGGAGCAGATCCGGCAGCAGCTGACTCAGATCAATGCCTCGCTGGGTGAGGCTCCAGGGCCGAGTTAGGGGGGAGCAGAGGGCTCAGCAGAGGGATTGGCTTCACCTTCTGGGGCTTCCACTGAGGTGGGCGGGATGGAGCACGGGGACTGTGGTCTGGGTTTTGAGAGCACCGAGCTGGTAGCTGAAATAGAAGCCCAGGCCTGGGCTCCAGGGCCCAAGGTAGAGAGAAGAGAACCCAGGCCCTGAGCTCATGCACACCCACTGCACTGTGTGCTCTGCAGCTGGCCTGTGCCGGCCCTGCCCCTGGGACTGGGAGCTCTTCCAGGAAAGCTGCTACCTCTTCTCCAAGACTCTGGGCAGCTGGGAAGCCTCAGCCTCCTCCTGCAGAGCTCTTGGAGCCCACCTGGTGATTGTCAACAGTGTTGAAGAGCAAGTGAGTGGAGCCACAGAAGTCCTTCCATCACTTTGTCCTAGAGATTGGGTTCCAGACAGGAGGCTGTGGGACATGGAAGAGATGCAGTCCTGGGGAGGGGCTTCCTGTAGGAGGAAGCACAATGGAATGAGGAAGTCCTGTGGGGGAGGAAGGCATGAGAGGGGGGTTAGGTCTGAAGGAAGTCAGAGAAGCTTCTTGTGTGACCCTCTTGGGATATAACTGAGATATAACTGAACATTTTTCCACATGCATGCACTTTGATCTGCACCCATGGCATGCACTCACGTGCCAGTCCACACAACTCGACTAAGCTCACAAAGCTTGAGTGCAGAAAGAAATTGTATGTGAGGCAGGGAAGGGTGGGACTGTGGATGGATGATGGAGATGACATCATAGACCTCTCTCCTGACCTCTGCATCCATTCAGAGATTCCTCAAATACTGGCACATCAGAAAGAATGAACTCACCTGGATTGGCCTCAGCGACCACAGACGTGAAGGTTCCTGGAAGTGGGTGGATGACAGCCCCCTCCAGCTCAGGTGACCACTCAGAATCCATGGCCCAGACACAGTGGGCGGGGAGATGGTCCTCATTCTAAATACAGCCTTTGGTATTGGAAAGCACTATGGCTATTTCAAATGCAAGATCCCACATCCCTGGGCATTCTGTCCCTTGACCTAAGGCCAGGTCCCTCAAACCTACATTGCTGGGCTGAGTCTCATTGAGTTGAGATTAGGACCCACATTTTGCTAAACCCTGCCCTGGACTCCTGTCCACTAGCTTGGTCCTCAGACTTTGTCCATGAAAACCTTAGATCCAATACCTCTGTAGTGGATGGGGATGGGGGTTTGGGCAGGATGGCTCTCTTTGATAACTAGTAATGTTTGCAGCTTCTGGAGAGAGGGGGAGCCCAACAATGATGGGGATGAGGACTGCGTGGAGCTGGCAGAAGATAAGTGGAATGATAGAAGATGTACTGCCAACAACTTCTGGGTGTGTGAGCAGCCCTCAGATCCCTGTCCTGGTCACTGAGGGTCCCCTAGGCATGCAGGCAACTTGGGGGCACCATGCTCTAATTCCAGCTGCCTTGTTCATCCCAGTGTCCCTGCTCAGAGCACTCTGGGATCCTGAGAGTCCCTGAGACACCCTCCCCTCAGTGCTTCCCTCTTCTTCTGTGGGTGATCTTGGTTGCTCTTCCCAGCCTATGACCCCCCCCATGAGAGTCACACACACATGTGGGTCTGAGGTGTAGCTCAATGACACACAGCTTGTGTAGCAGAAGGGGGTCTCTGCGTTCCATCCCCAGCTCTAAAATAAAAGAATGAACAAAAGTTCATACATGGTCTGATGTGTTCCATTCAGTGGATTCTCTAATCCTGGACATTGTCTTCATTAGTAAAGGTTTGAAATGTTTAACTTTAACCAGGATCTTTGTGTCTACAATACCTTTGGATTGTGAAGCATTTTTGTTTGTTTGTTTGTTTGTGACAGAATCTCATTATGTGCTCCTGGCTGGCCTTGAACTTGATATGTAGATCAGGCTAACCTTAAACTCTGCCTCCTGAGTGCTGTGATTAAAGACATGCATGGCTATACCTGGTTGAATCAGTTTAAAAATTATTTAGTCGGTACTATACACCTACCGAGTGTATTCATATTCATGTATACTCTCATATTCTGTCTGTGGGTGTGTCTATCTGTCTCTCCTGTCTCCACATTGCTATTTCCTCTCCATTCATTCATGACCAATTATTTATTCACAATCCCGCAAATGCCCCTGGGTGAAGCCTTATGATTTCACTATACATTTTTATAGCACTAACTGGTCAGTGAGCTGAAATGACACAAAGTCATTATCTGTTGTGTCTGGAGCTCGGTGCATCCTTTGCTCTCAAAAGAGACCTCCATGGGAGTAGTCAGGAGTCAAGGGACGACCAGCCTCTGGGTTTCCCCATAGGCTACACAAAGCCACCCAAACCTCCAGGTGGTCTCAGCCACAGGGTGCAGAATCCCAGACCACACTTACTGCCTCCTCACCTTTGCCTTGGCTGGACCTTCTACCTGTCATTGTGTGCTTCCTCCTCCTCCCCAAGTTCCATGCTCAAGAGGCACACCCCTCACCTTGAGCCTCTTGAGCTGGTACTACAGGACAGCGGAAGGAGGAAAAGCCCCGCCCTGCACCTGTCGATCAAGAAAGCTGTCTGCAGAGCCTGTGTGTGGTCACTTAGCCAGGAAGGCTCCTTTCCCTTGGGATGCCAAAGGCTCAGCCTCCCTCCCCCTAGTGTCCTGAAACCTGAGGGAGTTTTTTAACTGAGGAAAATTCTCCCTCAGTCCTCTGGGTGGCGCCCGACATCATGTGATTGCTCTGCTGCCTCTGCTCTGGTGTCTGCCTTGCTTCCCTCATTGTTCTAGAACCAAAGAAAGAGCCTGTCCCTGGGACAAGGACCTGCCTGCTCAGGGACCACTCCCTCTCTCTGCACCTGCCTGATGGCCTGTGCACCTCCTACCTTGCTGGCTGTTGCTACTTCTTTTTTGGAGTTAGAATTTAACTTTTTTTATTATACAGAAGCCTACCGTTAAAAACCTTGGGTATCTTAAAGAAACTGCGATTTTAGAGTGCTTGAATATTTTAGATAAATGTTGCAATCTTAAAGAGACATCTTTAAGAGACTAGCTTTTTTTGTTGTCGTTGTTTTTGGTTTGGTTTGGTTTGGTTTTCAGAACAGCGTTTCTCAGTGTAGTCTTGACTGTCCTGAGACTTGCTTTGTAGATCAGGCTGGCCTCTGACTCACAAAGATCCACCTACTTCTGCCTCCCGAGTTCTGGGATTAAAAGTAGGGGCCACCACCACCACCCAGGCAAGAGGCTGAATTTACAAATTTGCTTGAATTTTTTAAAAATGGTGGGATTCAACTGATGGCTTCTGGGACGGGGGGTGGGGAGGGGGGAGAGTACGGACTCCGTTTTCTTTAAGGGGCTGACCACTGGGAGCTTGACAGTGCTCCAGTGAGGATATGGACAACACAAACTGGCTCTCTCTCTCTCTCTCTCTCTCTCTCTCTCTCTCTCTCTCTCTCTCTCTCTCTCTCCCTCTCCCTCTCCCTCTTCCTCTCTCTTGTGCAGGTCACAAGGGTGGAGAACTGATAGGTAGGTGTGACTGGGGTGCCTGATGTGAAATTCCCAAATAATCAATGAAAGTATTATGTAAAAGAAAAAAAAAAAAAAGAAACTACAAAAACAACAACAACTGGGATTTTAAAAGCTGAAATGTTTTAGGTTGTAACATCAATATTAAGATGAGATTTTGAGGATAAACCAAAAAAAAAAAAAAAAAAAAAAAAAAGGAAATGTTACGGTTTAGCGGTAACTGTATTTGTGTGTCAACTTGACAAAGGGTCGATCGCCCTGGATGGTATTTTTTTTATCTACGTGACACGAGCTGGAGTTATCTGAGGAGAGAGGACCATGAATAGAAAATGCCTCTGTAAGATTTGTCTATAGGCAAGCCTAAAGGATATTTTCTTAATTGGTGACTGTTACAGATTGTGCTGCTGCTGGAAAGACAGACCTGAGGATGTAAGTGAGGTTGAGCAAGCCAGCAGGTGGCGCTCTTCCATGGCTTCGCTTCAGTTCCTGCCTCCAGGCTCCTGCCTTGATGACAGACTGTGATCTAGATATAGAAAATACAATAAGCTCTTTCTTCCCTAAGCTGCTTTTTGTCGTGGTGCTTCATCACAGCAGTAAAAACTATCAAAGCAGATGAAGGATTTATTTTGGCCTGCTGTTGAGGATGCAGCCCACCATGGTATCAGGAATGCACAGTAGCTAGCTACTTTGCATTTGGAGTTAGGAATCAGAGAAGGATGAATGCTGTACTAAGCTTGCTTTCTCATTTCTTGTGGGTTTTATTCAGGGCCGCAGTACAGTCCTTCAGATAGTGCTACCCACGTTGAGAACACCCTTAGATATGGCGATGGCTGATGAGGGATGTTCTTCTGTATGCTGTTAATATATGTTTCTCTTAATGGTTAATGAATAAAGCTGTTTCAGCCAATGGACAGGCAGGATGTAGCCAGGCAGGAAGTATAGGGGTGAATGAGTGGGGGGTCGGGGATCCCCACTGACTTTGATGTAGTCTTGGAACTACCTTGTTCTACTGGGCATTTTTACCTGTGGATTATTATAAAGATGATTTCCTCCAAAGTTGTGCTGTTCAGCTAAAGCAATGATTTTATATAATAGTAGTGTTCATTTATATAAAAGTGTGATGATTGAGGGATTTAAATAAATGTAATAAGGGATTATGAGGAGCCATATAGACTGTGGATTAGGTTAATGATTAAGAAAAACAACTGAGACCCAGAAGCCCAGCTAGTTTAAATTCTTTTCATCTTAATGTTGGGAGATGTGTTCACAGGCTTCAGAGTGCATCATAGCTGAAAAAAAAAAGCTTTAAAAAATAACTTAAGGTTAGATTGAGATGTTTTTGTGAATAGCTTTGAGGTTAAAAAAAAAAAAAAAAAAAAAAAAAAACAAGAAGACAATCCAAAGTTTTAGAAAGGCACGTAGTTGAGAAAGGGACTTGTTACAGTCAGGGAACAAGGACAAAGCAGCCCAATTATTATTAACTAATGTGCCTTTCTTCCTATGTGGTGATGCATTGTTTATGATATATTAAAGCCACTGGAGATCAAAATAGCAAAGCAGCCATACTAGTTATCTATAGAAGCTAGGAGGTGGTGGTGCACACCTTTAATGCCAGGACTCAGGATTAAGAGGTAGACAGATCTCTGTTAGTTCAAGACCACACTGACTACACAGAATTGATCCAGTCCTAAAAGAAACAACTCACACAAAAGCGATCTCAGCACCTAAGATCACAGGCCTATAATCCCAGCACTAGGGAGGTGGAGCAGGAGTGATATGGCCAGGCAGAGAAAGGAATATAAGGAGGTGGAGACAAGAATTCAGAGTCTTTTGCCTCTGAGGATTTATGGAGACAGGATTGACATTTCAGCTGGGTAGAGGTAAGATCTACTGGCTTGGCTAATTTGTTTCTCTGATCTTCAGCTGGAAGCTTGAACCCCAGTATCAGTCTCTGGGTCTTTTATTAATCATGCTACATACTAGGACTGGTTGATGACCAAATGTGCTAATTAATTTCTTATATCCATTTCTGCCCTCAGCATTTGGAAAATAAATAACTGTTGATGAGTGAGTAGGAACCCTAAAGATTTAAAGTAGAGATGACTAATGGTTTTCCATATATAAAAGTTTAGATTTGTGATTCTTCTAAGATTTCTTATAAGATTACCTTTTGAGAGAAATAATAAAGTGATTTGTCCTTTCTTCGTAACTGTAAAATGCAGCCTGCTAAGAAAAAAAAAAAACTGGCTGAGAAAAATACCTTGCTTGCTCTCTGTTAATCTATAACAAGTTGCTTGGACATGAATGTATGAAGGTTCTTGAGACAACTTGCTTTTTTACTGTAATGTGTAAAATGTTTAATCATGAAGGGATATGGAAAACATGCTGTTTTTGCTTGTATTCATTGTAGTCATTCACTTGAAAATAGGATGTAACCACATTGTAATTTTTATATTGCTTGAAAGATTTTGCTGGGATATATAAGCTGTAAGGGAATAAATAAAGTTAGTTAGAAGGAAAACAAAAAGAATAAGACAGAATTGATACAGAAGATGGGAGAAATTGTGTGTGTGTGTGTGTGTGTGTGTGTGTGTGTGTGTGTGTGTTCCCTCTCTCACTGGCCTCAGAGAATTTAGTCTTAGTCCCTCAGGTAGAAAACTCCAGGTCTGCCAACTCCATACATAGGATTCCCCTCAAGCCCTGTGCTATTGGAGGCTGGTCCCCACGGCAGCAAAACTCCAGCCTCACATCTGTCTCTTCATAACTATATTCTGTTTCCCTTTCCTTGGAAGATTCTTCCCTCTCCCCCTTACATTATACCTCACCTCTGTTAAATAGATTGTAGCCTACTTTTTTGAAGATGTAACAGCTAACTTCCACATATGAGTGGAATACATACCATATTTGTCTTTTGGGATTTTGGTTACCTCACTCAGGATGATATTTTTTTCCTAGTTCCATCCACCTGAGAATTTTGTGGGTTTTTTTTTTAAAGGCTTGGTAATATTCCACTCTGTAAATGCGCCACATTTTCTTTATCCATTCATCTGTTGATGGACATCTAGACTGTTTCCAAGTTCTGGCTCTTGTGAATAGAGCAGTAATGAACATGGATGAGAAAGTGCTCTGTAGTATGAGGAAGCAACCTTTTGGGTATATGCTCAAGGGTGGCACAACAGGAT